ATATATATATATATATATATATATATATATATATATATATATATATATATATATACATATATATATATATGTGTGTGTGTGTGTGTGTGTGTGTGTGTGTGTGTGTGTGTATGTGTGTGTGTGTGTGTGTGTGTGTGTGTGTGTGCGCGTGTGTCTGTGTGTCTGTGTGTGTGTGATATGCACGAATTTCACCTATTTTTGATACATTTTTTTCCCTTTCAGCACATGCTCATTTCAATATTCATTCCTTCATTGCTGACAATTGCCAAGTAGCATGTCACAGTTGCATTTTACATTCGCGCAAATATTGTTTATGTGCTACAAATAGATTCTTTGCGTCAAAACTAATCTCTGTCATTATCTATCTTTATCCATTTTATCTTAGATTATACTGTTATTGTACATAATGGTTGTGATTATGATGCCAGTGTTAATAACAACAATTATTTGATGATCTAAAAGTCATGATTGTTATTGTCATTATCATTATCATTTTTACGTTATTTCGTTCCTGTTGATATTACTGTTATCATTATTATCATTATCATTACTGTGGTTATTATGATCGTTATCATTCTAGTTATCATCATTATTACCATAATAGTTATCATTATTTAATTATCATTATCCTCGGCATAATCAAAATTATCATGATTTATATTACTATCATGATCTTTATAATCATTATCATTATCGCCATTATCATTAGGGTTATTTTTACAATTATTGATATTATCATTATCATTATTTACCTCATTATCATTATAATTGCTATTATCCTTGCTCTCATTGTTAGTATCATGATCATCATCGTCATCATTATTACTATCATTACTTCTAATATTATCATTACTTTTATTATCATAATTATTATTATCATCATTATTATTAACAACACCATTATTCATATTATTATCATTACCATTATCATCATCATCATCAGGGAGAAAAAGGGAGAGAGAGAGAGAGAGAGAGAGAGAGAGAGAGAGAGAGAGAGAGAGAGAGAGAGAGAGAGAGAGAGAGAGAGAGAGAGAGAGAGAGAGAGAGAGAGAGAGAGAGAGAGAGAGAGAGAGAGAGAGAGAAAGAGAAAGAGAGAAAGAGAGAAAGGGGTACAGAGATAGAGACAGATAGTAAAGAATCAAGAAACACAAAGAAACGACTGCTTAAATATATTTTGTGCCGAGCTAACAATTATAAATGGTTTATTTGCACGAGAACTTGTGTGTGTGTTTGTGTGGGTATGTGTGTGTGTGTGTTTATATATGTATATACATATGCATAGATAGATAGATATGTAGACTAATACAAATCTATATACACCGCATATATATATATATATATATATATATATATATATATATATATATATATATATATACATATATATATATATATATATATATATATTTATTTATTTGTATATATATATATATATATATATATATATATATATATATATATATATATATATATATATATATATATATATATATATATATATATACATATATACGTATGTGTATGTGTATGTATGTATATATAAATATATTTATATATATACATATATATAAATATATATTATTATATGAACGTATACAAATATGTCTGTATGACGATTTACTGATCAAAGTGAAAAGTCAGGTTTTAAGAAGGTGATGCCTTCATGAAAAATCCATTTATACGGTCAACATTCACTAACCGCGCAGCTTTAACCAGTATAAGTACCACCTTTCCCTCACTATGTATTTGCGATGATCTCTAGCTAACGGAATCCCCACACCCAACCCAGAAGCAAGAAGTATTTATAACGACTGCCATTCATCAAGTAGAACTATCACCTTTGGTTTGTCGTGTCTGCCATACCTTACTGTTCGTCCGGTGATTATTTAAGATTTTTATTTATTGGCATTACTATCATGCGAGATTGGAGAATGGATTTTTTTTTTCTTAGTGTACCCTCTCATTGTTTCTCTCTCTTCTCTCTTTTCCCTTCTTTTTTTTACCCTAACATGGGGAGAGAGAGAGAGAGAGAGAGAGAGAGGTGGGGTGGGGTGAGGAAGAGGAAGAGTGAGTGAGAGATAGTGAGAGAGAGAGAGTGAGAGAGAGAGAGAGAGAGAGAGAGAGAGAGAGAGAGAGAGAGAGAGAGAGAGAGAGAGAGAAGTGAAAGAGAGAGAGAGAGAGAGAGAGAGAGAGAGAGAGAGAGAGAGAGAGAGAGAGAGAGAGAGAGAGAGAGAGAGAGAGAGAGAGAGAGGGAGAGAGAAAAGTGAGAAAGAGAGAGAGACAGAAAGACAGATAATAAAAAACAAAGAGACAATCTTAAAATCCTCTAAAAATATGGATCGAAGGAAAAGCATATGACGAAATCTCTATCATTCAGTCACAAAACCTCTTTACGCAGGCCAGTGTGCCCTCCACCTCTCCAACGGCCAAAAATGGACGCAGCTTAAGGAGCGTCCGTCTTACAACAGGCTTTTAGAGGGAGACTCAAGCAGAACAACGACTCAACTTGGAGTGAGAAGCAGCTGTCTCAACCCGATTCTGATAGATGCCGTTATGTTTTTGCTAAAGACTGATCGGCTCTTTAGCAGCAACAATGTCTATTTGGTCTTTCAACATCAAACAGGTATGAGGTAGTAAGAAAAAGGGTCGTTGGGTGTGGTAATGGGAAATTGCTAGGGATCATAATGACCGTGGAAACTTTAATCCTATTTTAATGGTCCTATATATTTCCTTAATATCCTTTCTGTCTCTTTTGTTTCCCTCTTTTCCTTCTCTACTTTTCGGTTTCTTCTCTCCTATTCTCTCTCCTTATCGCCCCTTTTCCCCTCTTCATCATACCCCTTTGTTTTCCCCTCCCCCTCCCTTTCCCTACTCCTCACCTCCTCCCATTCTCCACGTCTCTCTTCACAACCCCTCTTCCCTTTCTTTCCTTGCCTTCCCTCTTCGATTTTCTCCTTTCCTTACTCCTCACCTTCTCCCATTCTCTCTCTTCACAACCCCTTTTCCCTTTTTCCCTTGCCTTCCCTCTTCGATCTTCTCCTTTGCTTACTCACCACCTTCTCCCCCTCATTTTCCCTTACCACCCCCCTCTCCCCTCTCCTTCCTACACCTCACTGTGCTATGCGTGTCCCCTATAACCCCTAAACACAAACGCATGTGTTATGTACACGTTATAAGAAAAGGACCATAACAATCACGAACCTTGCCTTCCCATCAGTCACCCACGAGAGAAAATGACCACACTGATTATGAACAGTACCTTTAATGGCCGCGTTCCAGTGCCTCTTGATTAAATATTCATTCCGATTCTTCTTTTTATATCCTGCCGACGAAGATGAGTGTTTGATAGCGGCTTTGTGGAGAGAGGGCGTTGCTGTTCGGGTAATGACGTCATCGTACCTGGAGGAGGACCTGGCAAGGACGACCTATTATCTGTACTCCCAGAGGATTCTCGTCGGGGATGTGACCTGGATAACTCAAGTCCTTCAGAAGGTTCTCCATATACGGCACTTTTTTTCTCTCTTTTATTTTCCTCTCCATACAAGCTAAAATGTTCTTTTAGTTTTTTTTTTCCAAATACGTAAAAGAGTTGTTTTCGCTTTTTCTTTGTCCCCACGTACGTCATTGCTTTTTCCCGTTCAAATTTGTAAAACTGTCCTCGTTTTCTTCCTTAAATACCCCATACGTCTTTTTCATCTTCTTTTTCAGATATATCCATCTGTTTCTTCTTCTTCTTCTTCTTCTTCTTCTTCTTCTTCTTCTTCTTCTTCTTCTTCTTCTTCTTCTTCTTCTTCTTCTTCTTGCCTCACTCCACCTTTCTTTTTTCCGGCATCATTATTTCACATTCATTTATCCACTTATTGATTTATTGATCATTTGGTTTGTTCTCCATTAAATAGATTGATACGTTCTTCCTTTACACGTTCCTGCCCATCCCCCCCCCTTTTTTTTCTTTCTTTTGTAGATGCATTATATTGTATTTATTATCTACTTATCATTTCTTTCATTTTTTCTACCGCAAGACGGTTTTTTTAATTTTATTTTTATTTGTTTTTACTATATGCCTATGTATATATCTATCTATATCGAGATAGATATCGAGAGAGAGAGAGAGTGAAAAAAATGAGAGAGAGAGAGAGAGAGAGAGAGAGAGAGAGAGAGAGAGAGAGAGAGAGAGAGAGAGAGAGAGAGAGAGAGAGAGAGAGAGAGATTCTATATAAGAATCTAAACTATCTCTTCATCTATCTTTCCGTCTATCTATCCCTTAATATATCTTTCTCTTGTTCCTATCCACTTCATATCTCCCTACTGTTTTACACAATGCAGTACTTCTTATACCTATTTCTAATAATATAATAATATGATATAGTTTCATTATTTTACTTTGTCTCAGGTCAAGGTGTTTTATAGCTCCAACCAACTCAACCTCCAGGTAACTATTTCCACAGAGAGTTATTTTTTAGCGTTAATGTATCATTCCCATAAAGTTACAATGTCAATAATCTGGATGTTGGGTTAATTTTTTCTACTTCACATTAACAAATTGCCGTCACTTTACTTATTGCGGTTAATAGGTATTGTCATTGATTTTACTTTACGCAGAGAACCCATTGGTTTTGGGTAGTTACCTTCACCAACTCTTCAAATGCAACGTTTCCATCGCCTGTGCCCAATAACTCATCACTTCTTGACCCGAGATACACGAACTTAACCTCTCTTGACCCTGCATATACAAATCCGACCACTCGTAACCCTGAATTTACGAATCCGACCTACCCTGACCTTGGATCTACGATATCGACCTCCCTTGCCCTCCCTGGAGTGAAGAACAGATCAAACGCGTCTTACACATTTCAAGAACTTATGGAGAAAGTGTCAGCGTGTTTAATAGAAGGTATACAAGGTGTTCTCATTGCCATGCCTGAGCTGGACGTCGACTCTCCAGGACGGCAAGAAAGGTAGAATATATTTTTACACGCATTAACGTGACATTTCACATCATGTTCAATACCTTCGGTGTGGTAATAAGATTGGACGTCCCCCAGTCCCCCATGCGGCATTTTTTTTCTCTCTCTCTCTTTTATTTTTCTCGTTTCGGTTATCATCGCGAGAGGGAGAAAGAAAAATAGATAGACTGACATATAAGCCAAAGCATCCTGTGTCATCTTATATATTCTATAGAAAAAATAAAAACACCAAGTGAATTTAGCTATCCCCGAAACAAATGAATTTCACCAGTAGATCATTAAAGAAAAGGATCAAGTATTTCACTTTTTCACAAAATGTTCGCGTATACTCTCAAGACCGTTAAATAAAAAAGATACAGAAAAATGGGAAATTTGTTATTACGATATTTTCAATACCCCTACTATTGCCAATAAAACTGGAGATTTCTATTTCTATGCAACGTTTGTTGGTAAGTGATTCAAAGAAAAAAGACAAGTAGGTCTTATGAATACTGCAACAAGGCAAACAATACAAAAAATCTACGGATGCCGTTCCCCATATTTCAGTGATTTTTTTAAGACTTGCTTTTGTGAATACCAATTTAAGAGTCGATTTTGATATCGGACAATTATATCAGACAATTCATAAAAAAAACATGTTGAAGAAATATATTATGAATTACATGACTTGTCAAATTGTTTTGGTTTTATAGTAGCTGCAATCGA